ATTGTTTCCTAACGTCCTTAATCTACGATAAAATTGCTTTAGCAATTATAAATACTTCGTGCCGTATTAACCACCAAAGATCGTTGATTAAACATTAACGTAATCGTGGATAATTGCGGGTAAAAGGCATATGAATAGGAAAATAAAAAATGTAAACTGTCGTTTAGCACATTAATACCAGAATCGATCGCGCTGCCAGAGGTTGCACATAACAAAAACTCCATTTCTTTTTTCTTTTTTATTTCCTCATTTCTCAAAAGAAGCCTCACACGCTCTTTTCTAAAATGTAATATAGATTTCTATTGTGAGATAATCAATCGGTAGAACTCTTTCAAATCCCAAAAAAGTATAACTTTAGATCTTGTAATTTCCATTTCCATTTTCTTCTGTGGCTTTTTAAATATCATTTTCTGTTCACCGCATAGATTCCAGTTTTGATTCTGGATATTGTTAACTCCTGTTTTTGTCTACAGTGTCAATACAAAATTCGTCCAAATTATCCTCGCACATGCCTACAAATTCCAATGAAGCTTCGTTTAGACTCTGTTTATCGAGCAGTGTGAATGTTTTCAGCAGCCAATGCGTGCTGACTTTATTGATCTGCAAACGGTTGAAAAATACCTCCGATGTATTCCATGCTGATGCTTAACTCTTTTACTATTTTTTATATTTTTAATCTTTTGATATTATGATTTTATTTAACATCAGACGAACCTCCAGCTCGTTTGCCACCTTCTCACATGAAATAAAGCACATATTTGTTTTAAATCCATATGCTCCGAACGTTTTGCAGAGTCCATGAGAGTCCGTGTAGCTTGAACTACATAAGAACAGAAAACCAGACCAGCTACACTCATCAATCCATCCTATTTCAAAGAGTGATAGACAATCGCTAAAACAGTCCATTTCTTCACATAACAAGCTCCTCTCTGTTAATTGGTACAGAGAATGTGACATTTGAATGAGCAATTAGGAGCCGTCGAAAAAAACCCAGCCGCCCGGCCTTTGCCCTGCGCTGTTTGCCTCGTCCGAACGACAATGCAAATTAATTGCATGACGTCAACGGTGATGAACTCTTTTTGCGCGGCTGGCTTCGACCCGCGACTTTACACGCGCGCCTCACCGAAAGAAGCGGTCCATTCTTCTCCAGTTCAAGGTAATCCTTGAATTGATCCATGGTATCAGAAGTCTACAGTGGTAGGGCCACAAAATGGTGTTCTCTATTGTACCAATGGGCAGGTCCGTCCGGGTAAGTACCACGACCTCACAGAAGACCGGCGTATAGATTGCAATTCTGCGTTGACGGGACAATTATTCGTGTGGGTCACACAAATACTTGTCCCGTGTGGGAATCGAACCCACGACCATCAGCGCCGAAGCCAATAGCGATTGCGCCATCTAGTTCTGTTAGACTGAAATTAATAATAATTTAATACACCGATAGTCGCCTGAATTAATTCACTGTCAAGCAAATCACTTGTTTGTCAAGACATAAGAACGTGTAACGCATTATCAAAAATCGCTACATGAACACTTTGTAATTTAAAATAAACGAGACAAAACAGAAATGTAAATGTTATAATTTAATTTAATTGCCAAAGGCAATTAAATTAAATTATATTATATTAATTTAATTTCATAACTTTTGGCTTTTATTACAGCTATTTAAGCGTTTCATTTGCCCATTTTATCACTTCGCACTCATCGCGTTTATGAATTTTCCTTGCAGCAGTAGTATATACGATTTTGTTGAACGTGTTATTTAATTCAAAGTAATTAATAATTATATAATTCAAATTTAAAAGCCGTTTAAAGGATTGAAGCGTTCGAACAAACAAACAGTTCAACTTTATTATTTTTAAAATTGATATAGATAAACGCAGACTCAAGTTACCGTACTACCGTACTTGGCAATAGGAAATAAGTGCCAAACAGTTATGTAGTATCCAAACCAATTTTTTTACATAAATTGTGGAAATTGTTGTTGAAATTGTCTTCCAGGTGTAGCGCCGAAAATTTTACTACGAATAAATCTAGCAAGACTTCTATTACTACTACTAAGACTACTACTACAAAGAAGACTGGCACCTAAAGTTAAAGTTGGCCTGCTAAAGGCAACAGTGAAAGGTCTTTCATAAAAAAAAACTATGATTTGTTAAAAATTCGCTTGAAAACCTGTTTCTATCACGTTCAAGTGATAATACATTCTGGCGATGTGGCCGGCCCATTGTTTGCACTTCAACCTACAAATGCCTGCACTATGTTATGTCTACATCACTCAAAAATACTATTTCTTTGATTGAAATATGTTATGCCCATACAAGTTATGTCAGGTCATCTGTATGAGATAACGCCGATACAACAAAAGACGTTCGGGGAGCCCCTGGTTGCAACAACAACGCAAACATCACGTTTAACTGATAACGACAAATCGTTACTCCCGACTTCTTGAGATCGATAAACACTGCGGACTTATTCCGGAATAAATTTACCATCCACACCATTTTTACGCGAACTTTTATTAGCAGAAAGGTAATCGATACATATGAGTTAATTTTTACTTCCGAGAAAGCTATTCTCGCGTAAGTAGTTGTTATTGAAAATTTGCTATAAATTCCACTCTAAACTAAAACAAAACTAAAACTTATGAAATTTAACAACTCATAAACAGGTTAAAGCTTTGCTTTACATCTGATTTTTACAAAGTTTTTTGTATTTTTATTTATTTTTATGATGAAAAACATTTCCTCGTGTTGCGGTAAGTCCACGCGAGTCTTGGGTGCTACACGAATGGACAGATCCGTCCGGTGAAATAACACAACCTCACAGAAGACCGGCGTGAAGTGGAAGTGTTATACTTTCGCGTGTTAGTGAGGTAACCGGCGCCCAATTTATTAATAGGTGGCAACGCATCTGCAAAATTTAGTGTGTTGCAAACGTAATGTAAACGTAACGCAAATTTATTTTTACGACGTCAACATCGCAACGTTTGAAAGAAGGCACGTGAAATGCATCAGAATAAGGCTCCGGGCATCAGTTAATCCCCGCGCTGTCAGTTTTCCCGCTCAAACCTTATTTGGCGCAATATGGCCAGCGCGTCCTTGAAATTGCAAATGAGCACAGACGATAAATATTGGTCCGTAAATAAAATTCTCATAAATCAACCGCATTAGTCGTACTCTAAAATTGTAGGACGAAATGAAACAAAGGTAAATGAAGTTTAAATTAACTAAATATCACAATCATGTAACATTTACCGAATAAAATATGCGAAACATCAACTAAACAATTGAAAAACGATTCAACTAGACACAAATGATTGAACCAACACAACTTGAAACAACACTAAATGATTGAACTAGACATCGATTTGTACGTAAATTTTGAAAATCGTATCGTCTTATAACGAAGTGCCTTTTATGTAATTATTATATCTGTTAATTTGTTTTTGTTTGTAATATATCTGTTAGTTTATGTAATTATTATATAAGTACCAGTCAGATAATTCAATAAATAAAAGTAATACTTCATAAAAATAGCACGGTAAATCGAAGACAAATCATTTTAAAGTGCGGTTTAAATTATACTCAACGTAAGAACTGGACAGTTCAATAAAAAAAAAACAACGCAACTAGAGTTTAATAACTTGGTTGGCGCAATTGTTAATGCCACGAGTCTTGGATTCTAATCTCGTGCACACTGCACGTGATGTGCACATTTTCCATTAGTGTAAGATACATAAGAGTTTAGAGGGAATTTAATGGCTTTTTCTTTACTATTCGTGCCTCTACGCTGCCAAATATAATGCAAAAATACAAAAGACAAAAGTTAAAATAGCGAAAATAGTACCTAACCTATGCATTACATAAATAACGGAAGTGATAGTGTACTAGTTCAAAAAGTCTATAACGAATAAATCCTCGCGTGGATAAATTATTCTAATTGAAAATCTGAAGCATTCTGTACCTATACTGAATGTTAAATTTTCAAGAACTACAACACGTAATTTCTATTAACAAAAGACAAAACCGACTTCAATTGTTTCACTCACTAGACGCTTTCATTTTGAGGAGTTCCTTGATGTCTTTCCAAAGTCCTTCCATAATCCAATACCAAGAAAATTAATATGGAACATGGAAGCTGAACTGAAGCTAATGCAAAAATATTTTTTTAAATCGGTTCATAAATGACTTAGTTTTGATGTAACGAAAAATAATACAACCGAGTTGGGAATCCCTCCTCATTTGAATTCAGTTGGAAAATGATTATTTCATTCACTTTCATCATACATTAATAAGGATGTTTTTATTTGTCAATCCGTTTATATATCTGCTTATTTATTTATTTTGAATCACCGCGGTAGGAGTGTTGACCGCTGGCGCAGCTGCTTTTATTTATTTATTTAACAATTTGTTGTTATATTAAAGCAGGAGGTCCACCATATTAACATTTTGTGTTATTTCCATGAGTGGCCTTGACCACTTACCATCACGTAATTCGCTTGTCTGAAGTACATTTATTTGTTTAACTTTATTATTTATTTCAATAATAAGAATTTTTTTACATGGATACGAGTATGTTCCCTCAGACTTGCAGCAACTGTACCAATCACTATTAACACAAAAATAACCAAATGAAAAATTAACATTTAAAACATGAAAATATCAGAAATTGTCATCAATCTATAATTAGAGCAACCCTTATATTGGGCCATTATAAAAGCGCGGGAAAACTGACAGCTCTGTCAGTGCGCAGACGTAGTTCACGCGGCCGCGCCAACAAGCGCTGGTTTGCTCAAAGGACGCTCCGTACATAAACAGTGCAGTTTATTTTTCGATTTAAATTTAAAAAAAAAAAACAAATAAAATTGCAATTATTTCATAAAACCTTTAGTTTGAAAAAACAATTGTTGTGTTATAAAAAAAAAAATTTTCAAAGCCGCCTGTGGCACTTATTTCTCATTGATTTATTAATTATCTTAATATTTTTTAAATATCAAAATGGTGAACAAAATGTACAACGTAACTTCAAATAAAAATGTTAAGGCGGGAAGCAAGCATAATCAAATTTTAATGTCCATCGTGGGTAAGTAAAATACTATATATTGTATATATAATGTACATATAATGTATTAAAAGGTACTGAGTATTATGTTGTATGACATATATACAACATAATACCTTTTAAGAGCTAAAAGTGTCACGCAACGGGCCTTCTACTAAAATCTTAACACAAAATGTATTTATGAATAATTTTTTTATAAGTCAAACGCAAAAGAACCCAAAAGTATACCAACTCGAATTTTTATACAATATAGTTTATATTTTAATATTATTTTACGCAAATTTTAAGTCAATGACTCAAATTCAACACAAAGATTTATTTTTCGTCACCGCATATCTATTGAAAAAACAAATTTATTACAACAACCTTTTCAATAAGTAAGCTGACGTACTAAAAACTTGACTTAAATTTCTCATTCTTATAATTTACTCGGTGGCGCCGTTACTTAGCTATTGGCATCGGCGTCGGGGATCGTGGGTTCGATTGTCACACGGGACAAGTATTTTCGTGAGCCACAGATAATTGTTCATTCGAGGTTTGACGTCAGGCGGGCGGCCGGTCGCAAAAATATAGACAAAACCTATTGTTATATTTTAATTGTTAAGATAACTGTGTTTGTTGTTGAAACTAAATAAATATTCATTCATTCATTCATTCTAATAGCTTGAAGCACTTTAAAACGTGTTTGCCAAAAAGTATGAAATCTCACTTTGTTCATCTGTTTCATCGTCATCATCATCAACCGCAAGACGTCCAGTGGAACATAAGCCTCCCCTTAGAACGCCACAACGAATGACACTTTGCCATTCGCATCCACCGGTTGCCCGCGACTCTCACGATGTCGTAGGTCCACCTAGAGGGAGGTCTTCCAACGCTACGTCTTTCAAGGTTCGTGGTCGCCATTCGAGAACCTTTACTCCCCATCGGTCATCAGTTCTTCGAGCAAATGGCCTACCCACTGCCACTTCAACTTGCAAATCCAGAAAGAAACTCCGAGCTCTCTACATAGCTCGTTGTGTGACTCTGATCTTGTTCAAAAGGCCAGTTTACAGTAACGAAATTCAAATCCAAATAAATATGACCTTATTTAAAAATAAGAGAGAATATGTCGTGTGTCACCTGGTTAAAACGAAGTTCCTGCATATCATATGTATAGGTATTAAATGAAAAACACAATTTTGGTGGGAACTTTTCATTTAAAATTAAAAAAAAATAACATGAAGGAAATAAGGTAATAACATGACAATTGATTATATTAAAAAAAAAATCCCCTCAACATTGCTCGCACAACTAGCGAGTGTAAGTCACAGAGAGAGCAAGTCGCCGAGTTTTGAATGAATTGGTGTAACGCTTTTTACGTTCGTGACGTTGACTAACATCTCAAACCCCGCATGCAATGGTAAGGCACTTCAATCCCAATCTTCATTGCAATGAACTCTGGCGTATTTTAACTCAAATGCGGTAGGATCGGTAGCTAATGTAATTCAAATCGTACATCACCAAGCTTGTTAAGTCCCAAACGTGACAGCCTTGTCACCCCAAGCCGAGAAAAAAACACCAAGTGATTTTTAAATGTAAACACTCACTGGTGCACGCGATCCGTTTTGAGACTACAACACAGCAACAATGACATTTCATTTCTCATTATCCTGTGTTGTAGGGACGTTTTGCAAACATAAATTTCACGCGGACAAACACCTAGATGCGAAAAAACTATCTGTGGGCCACACAGATAGTTGTCCCGTGTGAGAATCGAACCCACGACCCCCGACGCCGAAGCCAATACCTTGGCAACTGCGCCACGGAATCATCAATAATTATATAGAACGATATAAATGGCGCAAATATGAGTCTTTATGTTTAGATTATGTATTTGTGCCATTTGCTGTTGAAACATTAGGTCCGTGGGGTCCCCGCACATCAAGATTTTTTAAAAGTTTATGTCGTAGGCTTAACGCCGCGGCTGGTGACAAGAGAGCTGGTTCTTTTCTCGCTCAAAGGTTAAGCATAACTATTCAGCGAGGAAATGCAGCTAGCGTTCTTGGCACCGTGCCACGTGGATTAGGTTTATTAGATAATATGTAATTTTAGATAGATTTAATCTTGTAAATATTAGATCAATAAGGATTGTAAAATGAACGATATTATATAGAACGATATGACACTAGCGCATTTGAATTGAATTTAAATTGAATTTAAATCGAAATTATATCATCTGTCACATTAGCTTATATGATTATGTCATTTAATGTAAAGCGGAACAAATTTTAAACGCCGCGCAGTATAAACACCATTATGTTAATAATATAGATGACGTGTGAATAGACTGTTTGATTTGTTGGTGCTGTGCAATGGCCTTTCAACAAGTGACTTTTTGACGAAAACGCGTGTCCCAAATTTACAATTGAACATTTTTTCTCGATTCCGTTGCGAATCGATTGAGACCATAACCATAATTTTCGAATTAAACCATAATTTTAAATGTGGAGTTAAACAGGTTTCCGTCAAAAAGGACTAGTCTAAAATGTCAAAATTGAAAATCATTCCAATATACGACACGTAAAACAAAGTCTAACAGAATTGATTTAATGAGAATAAATCGACAGAATATTCTCCAACGTTCTTTCCGTACTCCGAATTGACAATCCTTACAAATCTTCGATTTCTTTACGGACGAGAAATCAGTAAATTGGCAATGAACATTGTACCAAACTCCTTCATTGGTATCGACGAGGTATTTGATCTTTGGCCGGTCGAGTACAAAGACCGTTGTTCTTGTCTTGGTACTTAAGAGACCAACATATACAGATACAGGATGACCTAGAGCCAGACCAACGTATTGAACAGATTGGAGATGCTCTCAGAAAAAGTAGTGAAAAGAGATATTATATACGTAATAGATGAAAAGTATTCGTAGATGCGTTTATTATGGAGGAAGCAAGGAAGCAAGCAACCGCCCAGACTGTGTTCAACGCCATTAAGTAAAAAGTAAACACTAAAGAAATTGAATGAGCATTTAAACTATGCAAAAGCTGCAAGAATTTTAACCGTGGTAGGGCCACGCAACGGGTTTCGCTGTTGCAAGAATGGGCAGGTCCGTTCGAGAAGTAGATATCACAATCTCATAGAAGAACTGCATGAAATGGAAGTGTTATACATCTGCGTTTTATCTGCTACTGGAGCCCATTTTATTGAAAGGTGGCAACTCATTTGCAACCTTACGAGTGTTGCAAATTAGCTCTTCATGTTTCTTTAATTATGAATCGTATATAATAAAAAAACAGCACATTTTCAATCAACACGCCTTGGCCCTTTTTCTGTCGCGTACCATTATACAATCGTTTGGATACATTAAGGCGTTGAATGTTGTAAAAATGGCTTTACTTAACAAAATTTATAGGTTTGAAAGCAGTTGTGTTGTGCTAAATTTTTTTACCGGAACGCGTATATATAATTATACAGACAGGGCCGATCCTGGGTAGGCGGCCGCTCTGTGCGGTCTCATGTCCCAAATTTAACGACGGGGCGTGATTTTTATACGGTATAAGGATCCTTAAAATGCAATTGGCCATTCTTTTAATTTTTTTTTTCAATGCGTCAGCCAATTCTCGCTATCGGAAATCATCTTTAGTTCCGGAACGCGTTCCTGTCCAAAAAGGAAGTACCGAAACGACCTTCCGGAGTGTTCCGGCTCGACAACAACACTGTTTGAAAGCAACAAAAACATATAATCTTGATCTTACACCTTAATGGGAAATCATAATCATAAACCAATCAAATTCTTGAAAAATTGTGAACAGAGCGCTGATGCGCTCTGCTAGATGGATTTCTGTCGCTATTGTTCCGCTCACCATTACGAAATATGTTCCGTATATTTTTGTGATAGACTTTCAATTTTATCCTGTTAATAGTACCTTAATAAATTTCTATTAGAAGCAAACAAAATGATATGTACACATTTTGTTTTCACCTAAGGCGTTATTTCAACATATTTCCTAGATATAGGCCTTCTTAGGAACCAGCATCTAATAAATAAAAATATTGTTACGTGTTAGGGGTTCGAAGGATTCGGAAAGAAAGACCTGCTGACTCTTTTGAAGACTTTATTTACTAGCGCTAGGTCCAACACAAAGCACTAGGTCCAATCACTAAGCACTAACGATGTCCTAGATTGTAGCCAAGTCGTAGGTTTCACTGGTATCGCTCTTGATCACTAGTTTTCGCTCTGAAGTCGCCTCGAAGGTAGCTCAAACTGAACTGTCTTCGCTCGCCTGCCTGTGGCTTTTTATATGGGCCGAGACCGGTTCCGGACTAATCCAGAAAGATCATTCCTGGAACGTACCCGACACGCACGAACATGTTCGTGATTCCGGAAATTTCGCGAATGTACCCAGTTTTCGAGACTATATTTCCACAGCAGTTTCTGTAACGCCATCTAGTGTTGAATAGGGGGTTTTATGTCGTCTTTGTTCTTTAGTGGTTTTAATAGTTGACGCTAGATGGCGTTAGTTCCTTTGTGTGTTCATAACACTATCATAACTATACAAAATGCGTTTTGAGCCGATGTATCGCGATCAACGCAGATTATTTGACCCGACGACGCCTAAGTCCTCCCATGGGCCATACAACTCTCAACCGAACATTACGTAAGAAAAATAGATGGAATTGCCAGTTAACATTTTTTGTCCTATTATAAACAACAATAATAACAAAGTGATTGTGTCTGAATGTGTCGATTAAATGTCATTTAAGTAGACAATAGTTGCCCGCTGATAGTGTTGAGATGGCAAGTTTATCGGACCTACAATCTCATGTCGCGAGTTGGAATCAAAATTGCTTGCAGCAATGGGAGTTTGGCTCTACGGACGTTTTTACGTGCAATAAATACAGATGTATTATATTCGTACATTGGGTACGATGACTGTTCATCGGCAACAACAACCACATCTTACCGTGGCGAGTAAAAACATTTTGACAGAGCTCATAAAGGCCTTGAAAAACAACTGGTACGCTTGTCATGT